CTTTACTGCACACAGGTTAAAGGTTTGTCTTTGAAAAACAGCCCCCTTTCTACTTGCATAGTGCTGAAAGAAAATGTATTGATTAACTATCAAATGATTCCGATACAGCGATCAATAATGCTTTGTGGGGGAGACCTCGGAGGACTGCCAGCTTCTGCTGGAAAAAATAAAAAGAGAAAAACATTCCCCTCCATGAATCCTTCAATGCCTTAAACACAAAAGGAATCTGTAGCAATGCTGTAAGGCATCTGTAGACGCAGGACTTGTTGGTGCTGACCTGAGATCAGTGAGCAGCTGATCCTTCGGTGCATAATGAGAGGATTTATATGATGGAGGCCTCTCATAGATCAGTTTAAAGTGAAATGTCCATGGTGTAGTCGCTCACTGTCCCTCAGTGTGTGTGTGTATAACGGGTGGGAGGTGTCTTTTCTATCCCCTCGGTGGACAGTAGGCCTTCATACCCTGGCCTCTCTGGAGCTGGCTGACTCTGCTGACATTGACCATCCTTTTGGTCATCAATGTCTGGCTCCCATTGCCAATCAATCAGGAACCTTAGCCATTACGCTGCGCGGACTTGGCCGAATATTGACCCCTTCACACACGATGAGACAAAGGGATGGTCAGAGAGACAAAAGAAATGTTAATACTGCTTAGTGATCCTCCCCTTTTAATGGAAAACTCCAGCTCTGTCTCTCGTAATGGTTCTGTCTACGTTCTTATCTACGATTAAACAACCTTTTAGGGCGCATCTGTTTGTTACAGTGTCGTGGTTGACGCAGAGATTAGGTTACTTGTTAATAGAGGTGCACAGAATGCAGTTGGGGTTTTTTTGGATTTTAAACTGGTTGTTTTTTTTGTTTTTTTCACACCCGAAGCTTTGTGGGCTGAGTGAACACATGAGACTAGCACATTTCCAGTACTTCCTATTAGCAAAACATGCAATAAAAAAACATTAGTTGCTCCTTGTTGGGCCAAATTGGCTTTTTAACTAAATCAGTGCTACACTGAAAGTAAGAAGCAACTGTGACTGTTTGACACAATGACTTGTATAATTCTGCTAGGATATGTTGCTGTAGGTGTAGCAGCAGAATTCTAATACAGAGCAAGTGCACTTACCAGGCTTATGTTCTTTATGTTCTTTATGTTAGAAAATTTAAACAAAAATACGCCAAAATAAAATAATAAATTGGTTCATTGCCAATTTGGAGCAAAACTGCCCAATTCTGATTGTGCACCCCCATTTATTAAAAGTTACAGTCCCTAAATTAACATCCCTTATGTGCTGGGTCAGATGTGTTAGAGAAAGGAAAGAATAAAAATGTATAAAACATTTGGTCCCTATTAGGATTAAGAACCGCTGCAGTATCTGATCACATTCTTATATATAAGGGTGTAAATTGTGATTACATCATGACATCTCATATTTTGAGATTTCCATTAAATTATTTTGGTATGATTCAGTTTTATTTAAAAAAATACATTGAACACACAAATGTGAATGTAGGATCTATTTACACAGCAGTGGAATATAGACAAAGGATATTTTGTATGTGCCAGGTCATTTTATGAGCACCCTTTGTCCTGATATTATTATAATTAATTTTAACACTCAAATTGACTACAGTTGATCTGCCACTTCCACATTGTCACAATGCATTTTTGCACCCCTAACAATGAAGAATCTGTTCATAGGGCACATCTGTTTGATACGCTGCTGTTGCTGAAGCAGAGATGGGGTTTCTTATTATACCAGAGACTGTGCCCGGAGATGGCTGGATAAAGAAGGTGTTTATGCTGGGAACAGCTGGACGATTGCTCTTGCTCTCCTGAGCAGCCTCGCAGACTGACTGGAAGGGAGAAAAACAGCTACGCTGAGAGACAGAGAGGCACACAGAGCCACACACAACCCCACGATGTCCCAGTGCCTGCCCCTCAGCCCCACAGACACAGAGCTCATCCGCTAACTCCTCGTCACCTGTGCCAAACTGTCAACATTCATTTACTGCCTCTTGTTTTCTTCTTCTTAGTTTGTCCCCAGGACCAGTTTAAACGCACATTTGTAAACAGTTTGATTCTCTTGTAGGTCAAGCGATTTTTAGTCATGGCTCAGGGTAAGTCTACAGGGAGGTGATAAAAACTACTTCTTAAGAAGTGTGGAGATTTTTTTCAGCGAAGTCTAGCATTTTAGAGAGAGGGAAAAAGAAAGAGGGAGAGAGAGAGAAAAAGGGGAGAGGGAGAGAAGACAAGAGAGACAGAAAGAAACGGGTGCACTGGGACTGGGAGATTTCATATCTATGTTCAGGTCATTTGCAAACAATACAGTTCATGACACCTGGCTGGCCCAGAAACGCCACATCTATGTTCGCACTTTATCTGCTCTTATTATGCAGCATGTCTGACCCACAGCCTCCCACACACACACTTTCACTTTACTACCACTACAGCTTTACATTCTACACATCATTAGCTAACCTCCCTCAGTATCAGACCAAAAAACAAGCAGCATCTCACCTCCCCATGTGTCTCTCTCTCTCTCTCTCATGAGCACATACATTACACAGTGACATTTTTACTGCCTCTCCAGCCTCTATCCTCTCTGGAGGGAGACACAGACCCAGAAAAGCAGAGGGAAGGCGGAAAGAGGAATTAAATCAGAATTAGAGGTAGACCCTGCTCTGACACTTGTGCAGAAATGAAGAGGGGGGAAAAAAAATAAAGGTCATGACCATTTATTCCTGAAGACCATTGGTCTCTGTTCTTTTCTGCTTAACTGGCATAGAAAATCAAACCCAAAAAAACACACACCAGCTTTCTCTGAACATCCTGGCCATCTGGTGGGAGGCTGATGTCAGAGCAGTGCTGGTGTGTGCACTGTGTCTGTGTTGCATCACAGTTTCCCTGTACAGTAGTGTGTGTGTGTGTGTGTGTGAGAGAGAGAGAGAGATAGGCCACCTGCACTCAGGAGACCTGCAACCTGAGTATGTATTACACAACTGAGAGAGAGAGAGAGAGAGAGAGAGAGAGAGAGAGAGAGAGCAATCTGGAGAAAGGGAGAGAAAGATCAATTGAGAGGTCTAGGGAAAGAGCTAGAATGAGACAGAGAGCAAGAGCTACAGATGTGGGAGACAGAAAGAGCTCTAGTGATAGAGAGAAAATGAGAGAAAGAAAGAGAAACTGGAGACAGATGGTGTTTTCCAGCCTGTTCCATTGAACACTGCCTTAACCAGGTGATACGATGAACAGAACTAGGCCCCAACAACACAGAGAGAATATATGATAAATAATGACTGTATCTGAAAACTCAGTACTGTATTGCTTTACTTTGTGTTCTTTATTGTTCAGTTATGTAAGCACATGCTCATGTACATGCAAGTGTACGTGTCCAGTGAAGTGATTCTGATTACTGTTTTGAAAAGCAGACACTATGTCTGCATTAAAATGCATTATAGTGTCGAATTTCTCTCTGGTCTCTGCTGTCCAGCGGCTCTGAGTGTATGTTGAGTTTCTCCGTGTCTGGGCCCTGGCTGCCTGTCTGCACTATCGATTCCACCGGCTGCCCAAGCACGAAAATGCAGGTCAGCTCTGCCGTATGATTGGTTTCTCGATGTGTCAATTACTCTGCTGGAGCGAGTAATGTGTGTGACAGGCGGTTTGTTTATGGAGTTGTTCCGGGTCATGGTCAAAGCGCTGCTAAACACACAGGCAGGGCGTGAGGGCCTGCACGCTGTCAGAGCGGCTCAGCTGTCCGAGCTTTGACTGACCAGCGCGCACACACTGTTGGCCGATGCGCTGTTGTAGCCATGCCTCTGTAAGGTTTTTCCGTGTTTGGTATGGTGGAGGTCGTAGTCTGAGTTTTACACTCTGATCAACAAGGCTATGTTTAATTAACACTGGTGCCAATGATCAGAGCAATTAGGAAGTGGTATCTAATACGAGTGCTGAGTGTGCAAACAGAATATAATCCTCTGCAGATTCTATGGCCTGGGTGGAACAGAATCTAATCAGCTCATCAAGACTGGTAATTCCAGTGATTTATTGGGCATACTTGCCAAACATAAAAAATCTTTCCAAGAAGTTTTGTTTGGGTACCTAGTGCCAGATTGTTGAAAGAGCAACACCTGTACTGATTTTCAGCTATGTCAACATTAAATTATATTCATAAGAATTTGTATAAGTTATTTTTAATAATTTTATGTGTATGAAATCAAATCAAATCCAACCCGAGGATCTTCACCCAGTGTATTTTCTACAAACTCACTGAGCAAACACAACGGCAACATGAAACAGTTCTGATTCAAAACCCGAATCAATCTTTATTTTTCTCTTTTCCCACCTTTCTCATTCCATACTATTTCTCTCTCCCTCTCCTCTTTCCAGGTCCCGTTACACTGGAATGCTTATGGCTTAGATTGACCCATGGCACCAAGACTGCCACAAAGCACAACCTCTCCAAAGTCAAAGCCCTTAGAAAGAAAAAGAAGATGGAGAAACAGAGAAAAATGGAGAGGGGAAAAAAGATCAATCCTGGTGCCATTCTTCAGTCTTCACCATCTCTCCTTCTGCTGATATTCCACCTCCTGAAACCAACAAATCTACAGACAGCACCCTCAGTGAAATAAAACTAACAAAGACCACCTTCTACAGGGGAAACGAAACCAACACATTAACGAAAGAGGACAGTAGAAAAAGGAGTTCAAAAGGAAAATTCCACCTGAAATTTCTTAAGACTGCAAGACTCTTTCCCTCAGCCAGCACTGGCCCTCCTGTTCTCCTCAGAGATGCTGCTTCATTGTAATTAGCATTAGCTTAGCATTTTGTAAACGTTCAACATAGTCTGGATTTGGAGGCAGATGGGGTTATGAATTCTACTAATCTTCAGAAACAAAAGCGCATTAGGACAGCACGCTATGTATATCATGTACAGCATATCTATACAGGATGATTCTTAGGGATTTTCAATGGTCGTATCTGTAAATAGAAAACCTCTCTCTCACACACACTTGCTCCACTACTTCTTTGTACCTTTATTGAACACATTTACTCATACACACCAGTCTGTACAAATGGATGGATAATGACGAGTATTATAAGTCCCAACAGTTTAGATGAATATTTGTGTAGATTAAGCGTGTTATGGAGAATCCACCCTTAAGATGACGTTCTATTTTTCAGATTGAATTAGTTAACTTAGAGCCCCTGGCCAAAAGCCTTGGTGTTAGTTGTTTAGGGAACAGTGCAGTGTTCTTAGACCTAGCTTCAGTGGACAAAACGTGAGGAAACCAGTGTGGCCTGGAAATTACATAGAGGAACACTGTCTACCATTTTAATCTACAGCAGACAGTGACAGCGGTACAGAGTAGAAAACAGTAGTGGGGTCCTCCATGTGGCTGGATTTGGCAGCTTTTTATGTACAGTCTCATGCAGTCTACTGTATATTTCCTTTTCTTCTCTCTCTTCTTTTAAATAAATCACATCCCCCCAGTTCTTGGCGATGGAACACGTAATGGTGACGTTTGTGCAGGTGACCCACAAGTGATGGTGTCGGGGGTCATACAGTCATTGGGGTCATTAAGTCACACTGGCTGAGGGTTGGTGGATCTCTCCTCGATCAGCCTCTCACTCAGCTCCCACAGGCTGAGGGCAGTGGAGGGGTCCTGAGCCTGTGGTGATGGAAGACAGCGAAAGCAGTTGTTGAAGTACATCCCTCCCAGCCCCTCCAGCTCCGGAGCCACTGCGCAGTACACGGTGGTGGCCGCGCCCTGTTGCTGTGGAAACACAAAAGAACACCAACCATGATGTCAGAACACAGGGGAAAAACGAACAAGAACATACTGAAACTAAACGGCCTTAAAAGGACCGAAGACACGGGTATGGTCCAGGATGTCCATAGCACCTACAGAACATTCTAGTGTGCCTAAAGGCTAAGAGGAAGACTTTGGACCTCTCAAAATAACTGTTAGAGGAACGTAAGTTCATTCGGACTAAATATTAGCCACAGCCTCACAAACCCAAGGACGAAGGCTGTAGGTGTACATACAGAACTTTCTGACTGTACACAATGTACACAGGAAACAGCTTTAAGAACCTGCATGCTGTCATGTAGATGACCGATAAAATCCTAGTCCACAAACTGAGCCAACATGAACTTCTTTAAGACAGAGTGGTTATAAATGCTGATGAATTCTGTAAATGCATTTTAAGGTGGAGTACAGCTGTCCATGTTTTTATGCAAGAAACGACCATGCCAACAAAAGATTAGTCACACTGCGCACTCTGTGTTTTCTTATGTATTCCAGGGAGGAAACACTGTAATTGAGGATAATTTGGCAGGCTTTATATCTCCTTGCAGCATTCCTGCCAAGTCTCGTAAACATACACACACACACACACACACACACACACACACACTGTACAGATGTATACACTGTACATAGGAGGAGCATTGTCCTTTGAGGAAGTGTTGACTACTACAGTATAGCGAGGCTTCCAAAATTGTCCATTCAGCTCACATCAGAAGATTTTTTATAAATCACGGCTGGAGGAGAAATCAGTGAACACACACACACACACACACACATACACATACAATCTATAGTCAAAACCAGCTTAAAAAACACTTCCTGGCTAAGCAGCTGAGCAGGGCGGCTGGTAATAAAGAATCAGAACATAGGGTCAAAAGCAACTGTTTATCTGTCTCCGCTCTTATCATAATTACTGGTATGCTTTCTGTCAGTCCACACATCAACATTGCTAGCATGCTAGCATGAAGAAACCAGTCATATATCCATGTATTGTCGCTGTCCAAAACAAAACATGGATCTCCATTTTCCCCCATTTTTTAACTACATCATATGAACACAACTGCTGTTCTTCACATTGTGAAAATTTCATGATGAGTGGCCCAACAGAAATGCTGCTCAATGACTTGGAATAAAATCCCTTCACTTTAAAAGTTAAGAATGTTCTCCTGTAAAGTTACTTTTTTTGAGATTTTGTTTTTTTGGACAGTGACAATATACAGCTTGTGCTAGAGTTTGCCTTGAATCCATTTTACTGTATACACCATAACAAACAATTGTCCACACATCCGTGTCTCGCAGAAGTGCAGCTCTTCCATGTGCTTTAGCGGGCTAATTGCACAGGAGGATCTGGCTGGACCGTGGGTTTGTCCTTTTTTTGTGTGGGGGGGGTGAAAGGATGGAGAGAGGAAAAGAAAAACATGTCAGAGAGAATTAGAGCAGACGCCTAGCTCAAATGCTCCCATCCTCGTCTTTCATGCCCCCTCCCCCTTTGCTGTAGAAAGCTGTCGCTGTGGCTTCACAGGCAACTCCAGCAGAAAGTTGACTTCTATAGGAGACACATGAAATGGGCCTGTTCTTTATCTTCAAATAGTGCCGGGTGCTGCACGCACGCAGCTGAAAAGCGCAGGCCAGCGTTTAGGAGCAATCGGCTGGCAGGCATTGAGAGAAATGCGCACTGACGCCCAGCTCTTTAAATGCTAGTATTAGCGCATGCACACACACACACATACACACACACACAGTACAAAGACTCAGCCTCATTTAAGCGGACGAATCAACAGCTGTAGCCCAAGCTGGTGAAGCCTGCGACAGAGCGCTCGTTAGACACACACACACACACACACACACACACAGCGTGCGGGAAGAAAGCCAAGGCCGTAGCCAGAAATTTGGTGAGCAAACTTCATTCCCTCCTCCCGAACTAAATGTGGTTTGTGTGAGCGTGTGTGTGTGTGTGTGTGTGTGTGTGTGTGTGTGTGTGTGTGTGTCTGCGTGTTAAACCGAATGCCTTTTGAAGTACGCAGATGTCGCACGTTCCTTTGGTTAGTGCGTCAATAAACATGACATCAAAAGGATGCATCTTCCTGAGTCTTACCTGCTTTTGGAGTGATAAGTTAATACACATTTGAAGGTGGAAATATGAAAGGATATAAAATGTCACTCAATCTTTGCTAGCACATGCAGGCATATTATTCAATATGCAGAGCCGGGCCCTACAGTATTTACTCATCTGGTAATTACATTTAATAATGTGATATGCAGAAAGCACTGCCTTCTTTCAACTTAAGTTTTAAATGCAGGAAAGAAGAAAGGGATGTAAAAAATTCTGTAGTCCTTAAAGTTTGCATCGTTTGGCAAAGTCTACTGAAAGAATTTTTTATGATTTTTTTTTTTCAAACTAACATAAAACTAAACTTAAAAAAACTACAAACTTGACTAAGTCATAAGAATCGTAAATGCACTGACCACAGGAAAAAAAAACAAAACAAAAAAAAAACAAGACAGAATGCAGTTAATGGCATGAAGGGTGAATATGTAGCCTTATGTCTCATCCTACACCCCTGTCATCTCGCCCGGCTGTCTTTATCACCCTTGTTCCCAGCACCCAACCCCACCGTTCCACCCCCACACAGCTAAATATTTACACGCCATGCAGACAAGGCCACTTCATCAATCTCTTTACTGCATGTGCGACCGGCCTAGAAATCTTGTTTTTGGATTAAGCAAAGAGGGCGCAGGTAATAAGGGACCATCATACTGTTCCACAAGGCCATTTGTCAGGCTGTAGCGCGCAGGCAGAGAGAGAGGTTAGAGGAAGTTAATAAATTACCCCTCTCTCACTCTCAGCCTCTCTTCCTTACCCCACCTATCCTCTCTTTGTTAAGGGAACTGACAGCAGCTCCCTGCATCCAGGCCTGAGCTAGGGGCTGTACTTGTACACCCACTGTATTTCGCTCATAGTGTTTTACGCTGTTGCTTCTCGGAACGAAAGCATAAAGACAGAGTAGATACAAGCAGAAATAGCAAACATATCACCCTGACTCTGATATTTGGACGTCTAACGGCTGGAAAGAGTTCAGGACGTGTACAGAACCGCCTCCGCTCCTGACTGGCCTCTTCATGTGCCCTTGTTTTCACCTCTGCTTCATTCGAACAGCACAAACACTCTCCAGACTAGCGCCCATACTCCATTACAGTAGAGTGCGCAGGAGTGCTAATGCGATCTGTAATGAAGCTGGGTGAAGACTAGCGTGACTGAGATTATCCACCACTAATGGGGTTGGAGTGTGATTTCAGCACTAGGCTAGTGCGCCGCCGTCCCTTAGCCAAACAATGGATGAGACGGAGGAGAAGCCACTCTAAAGCGTTTAACCCTTTCCCAAAGCTCTAGTCTAGTCTTTTCCAAGAAGATTTGGAAAGCTGGACGAAGACGCCGCTAAGTCCCAGCCACCCTAGATTTACTGTGATCCGCCTAGCATGCTAGTGTACAGCTAGTGGACAGCTTACAAGACTTTACTGGAGTAATCGCTGGGTGAATTACAGCTTTGTTGGCTACAGGGAACAGAAGATGGCTCATTTTTGCTTTATTAGAGTGCCATACCTCGTATACATTTCCATCTACGTTTCCCATATCCCTCTCAAAAGCCTCTCTGCTAAATATAGATCCATGATTGATCCACAGAGAGCGAACATCCAAACATTACTTCCTCTCCCCTTCAGCGGTGGAACAGTAATAGGCCTGCTGAGAAGTCCCACGTTTAGTGCAGGAGTTCAGGTGAGATTGCCCTGTCAGGCAGAATGAAAGGAGTGCTATCTTACTGCTCTTTCTGCTCTTTACGCTCAACCTCTCGTCACTTGACCTCAGTGACCCCTCTGGGGCGATAAGCTTTATGAGATAGCACATTAACATGCAGAGCCACCCACCACCACCATTTATCACTTGCAGCCCTGTTTAGCAAAGAGAGAGAGAGAAAAAGAGGGGGATGGGGGGAATGCTCTGTGTATACTGGTGTAAAAAGTGTAAATGTAGATGTTTTTGCTGTCTCGTTTATCTGTGCATGCCCAAGGAGGGCAATTGTTATCATAAAGATGGTTATTTAATTTTTTTTTTAATCAATGATCGAATACAGAAAAAAACACATTTTGGTGATTTCTGCAGCAATACTGATATCAAGCCAAAGCAATGAAGATCAAACACACAATAAGCTCATAAAGTAAAATTCTAAACTAAGACTAAGCCAGAAACAAGCAAACTGAATGAAAGAAACCTCGGTTTGAAATTCACACTTCAGCTTTAATCGACTGCAATAAACCTGTCTGCAATTGTTCTTGATGAATCCCATTCAAGTCTTCCAGTACTCACATCTGTTTATTTTTTTTTTTGACACTGGATAAAAAAAAATGCAAAATGTCCAAATGAACAGCTTTAATTTGCAATAAATAGTGGAGATAAAAGGTGTATTTCATTTTTAAGGACTTCTGCAGGTGACAGAATTGGTTCTAAGAACTTTGGCACTGTAAATGATGTTTTCTATTCTTTATGTATTTAGATATATGATAGGCCACCTCCAAGCCCCAGAGTGCACACACTGAACTGACTGTATTTATTGTACATAATGTAAGTTAATAATCATCCACATCAGTACTGAGTCTCGTGTTGGGTGACAGTTAGTAGTTGGGACAGATGTAGACCCCTTTGTTATCTAGTGTCCTCCAATAGGCCTCTAGTGCTATGTGCCACAGACCCTTTTACAGTATTTACCCTGTATTTGACCACATGTATGCCAACACTTCCTAACCTGTGTGCTCACAGTATAGACTGAGTATCTACTGTATGTAGCAGAGCTGCTAAAAACAGTGATGATCATAATGGGTAAAAGTGATAGCCTCTGGTTTTGTTTTCTCTTGTATGAAGGTTGTGTTAAATTATCTCTGCATGCAATGAGTTTCTTTTTTTTCTGTTG